CTGATTTTCATAAAGAATCAGCAAATATATTGGAAGCAAATATACATTTATATATTTGAAAAGTAGATCGCGGAAGATCAAGGTTAGGGAAAATTCTCAAAGCGAGAAGTATTAGTAAATAATCGACAATTACTTTTAATCAAGTGTAAACATAATATTTTAATGAAGATTTTCAAAGTATTAAAAAAACAAATTTTTATAACGCAATACAAATGTTATAAAGTGACACGCTATTTTTTTGTGCTGTATTCCTAACATCTGAACAGTGTAATATTTATAAAGTTCCACTAGGAATATGAAACGTTTGTACCATCGTTAAACTTTTTTGTTGTAAAGAACTTTTATTTATTAATAAAAGAAAGGAAATAAATAAGTCAAATAAATCAAATGTATGCTACGAAAAAAAAGGTGTTACAAGAAATTAGTCTCAATTCCTTAAGTGTATAACAAAATTCGGAATTTTCAAAATGCTAAGGCTCTGCCAATTTTCAGTTTAAGAAAAAACCAGCTGATAAGTTTTGAAGCTTGAGTCATGAACAATAAAACTTATCAGTTAAATTTTTTAAAATGATATAATTTTTTTTTGTTTTAGTATTTTGAAGTTGACCAATTGTTACTATGAACAATTAATTATTATAGATGATCTGCACCGTATAATGATCAATAGTGCAAAAAAAAACAATAGTAAACATAGTAAAATATACACACTGTTTTCATACCACTCCATTTTCAAAGACACCCAAATTTCATGCGATAGTAGATGGTATGTAGTTTAGAATTTTTTGCTCTACTTAATTTTGTTGTGCTTATACATTTTGAAAACCAGCAATTTTTCAGTGTTTTTCACCATGAAATTCTTCATTGCTCTAAACTATGCACCATCTACTATAAATTTGGTGACAAATTCAATATTAATTAGATTCGATTTTCTTAGAATGTCACGCTCCCCAGTAGGAAACAGAGATTTGGAAGTCAAATACATAATTAAAAGCATTAATGAATGCATTCAATAAAACTTGGGAATAAATACAAAAGAAAAAGAGTCATCTTAAATGTCCAATATTATTAATATTATTATTAACATTATCAAAGACTGTTTTTTTATCTTTTTCATGCACAACGACCATTACGCAGGAGGCTAATATAATGATGATTGTTCATGAAGTTTGAAATCACTTTCGGCCGATTAGGTGATATCACTGTATAGTTGCTATTCTTTGCCTGAAAGTACTTAACCATTATGTCAAGCAAGTTAATGAATAATATATAAATGAAAGATTGGTAGAGCATAGATGACAGAAAATGGGTGGAGATAAGTATATAGATGGAAGAAAAAGAATAACGCATTATTTGTCAAATTAATGACATTCCACTTGCTAATAACACCAAGTTATGAAGGTAATAATAGATGAATGTTGAAATTATAGCAACCAATATTACAGACAGTTTAAATGGATAAATAAATAAATGTAATGGATTTTATCTCCTCACAGATATGCATACATGTAATTGTAAACATTACCATCTGTCTTGCGTTTCTTAACAGATTGTTCTTTGGAAAGATCCAGTATATTCACAATATTATCATCACATTGCTAACAATGAAAAGGTCACTTCAAACAATGAACAACACCATCAAATTTGTTTAAAAAGCAAAATGGTCTGAAAATTACTCAAAAAGAATTAACTGCTTGGTGTGGACAAGAATTTGGTGCAAAGGTTGATCCAACTTGATTTGTTCTTATAAATTACATGCATCACATCATAATTGTTTATAAAGCAAAATATTGTTTGAATAAACTATGCAATTATTTTTTCATAAAACTGTTCAAAGAATTTTTGCGCGGTGCCAACCTCTAAGTTTTTGGTAAATATATATTTAAAACAGACAAACAAATAAATTTAGATAAAATTATTGTTTATTTCTAAAGCAGTAAAACAGATTTTTTATTTTAGAATTAACATAATAAAGTACACAACTACGTAGTCAACCTGTTAATCTGAAAAACCCTGTTAAACCAAAGAACCAAATTTTGGTAAACCTAATATTAAACGGAATAAAGGGGTTGACTATGTGGTTTGTAGCCCTATAAATTATGCATGCAAAAGTCTGTTCCTATTACTATATCTTTCTTTTTCTTTTTCGAATGACCAATACTAATAATGATATAGAAAATCAGAAAACAAAAGCTTTGAATGCATATACTAAAGTTTGTGAACGATTTTTTTGTTAATCTTGCAAAATGCTACATAATTAGATACATAAAATTTTAACATTAGGTAGCAGTTCTTGTTCGTTTTCATATAAAATTTGATGTTTTTTGTATTTCCAGTACTTTATTAATAAAAAAAAAATGGAAGTTGATTGAATTTTAAAATGTTTCAGTATTTTCGTATTTTTTTTCAAAAATTTACATAATAAAAATATTAAAATATTACCATATAAAAGATATAGTTTTAGAAAAAACAAAACGTATGGTTTTCAACACTTTAACACATCTAGGTTTTATTTCTTTTGTTATTTTTTTTCTAGAACTAAATCGTGATTGGCAAAAATTTTTTAAAAAAAACGTGCAGTGCATCCAAAAAAATAAATCGGAATCGAAAGTTGCAGTGAAAGAAGAATGGTTAAAATACCTCACAAAACGTAGAAAAACTCATCGAAAGCACGCCAAGAAGAATTGAGACATGTATTTCTAATGACGGGTGGCCCACTAGATATTAGTCAATTTTGACTTTTTGAAGATCTTTTCAAAAAAAGTATTCGTTTTATTCGTTTTTATTCGTTTAATTCGCTTTGTTAGAATTATTTCTCAACTATTACTCAAGATTATGATATTATTTTAGTACAAAGATCTTTAGAAATATTTAACCAATAACTTAATTACAATATAAAAGAGCTATTGGTTTATTAAATTAAGCCAATAATTAACTAAAAAACAGGATTAATTTTAAAAGAACACCTGATAAATATTGGTGCTTTCAATAGGCTTTTAGATTTTATGATAAAAATACTAGGAATATTATTAACTTATCAGTATGCCAATACCTTGATTATTTTTTTTTAAAGAATTATTGGATTTTGATATTTGCTGATACCCCATTACCAATTTGGCATCATTTCGAGCAGTAAAAAGAGAATCAATAGATTATATATAAGCAAAGAAAGATGGGACCCTAAATTAGCACAAAAGAATTTTAAATCATGCACAAACATAACAGCTTTTTATTGTATATCTTTAATAAAACAAACATGACTTAGCTATTTAATCATTTCCTTGTATGTGAATGCCTCCATCCATCAAATATTCATGATTATTATCCAATACATTTGATGTTATAATTGACATAACAAACAATTGCATCACCCAAGTAATGATAATACCAAGGCCATGCATAAATACAACTTTTAATAATGTGTGTCAACCCAGATCTCTAGTTTCAGAAAATAAATTATTTTTCCTGATTATCAATTGTAGTTTTTTATGAATAATAAATCTGATGTAAATTGCAAGTGTCAGATTTAATTAAATTTTCCTGTCACAAACATGTGGGTTAGGTGCTATCAGCACACCCCATAACCATGGGATTTTTCCTTCACAGGTGAGGGTACCCAATGTTGGTAGGCTTTGGACAAAACTTCCCTTATCTTCCTCTCAGACCAGGCTTGGCTGTTACCATATGGGCATCGATCACCTGATAGCTAATACTAATGTTTGGGTGATACTTACTTTGTGTTATAGCCCTCTCACTAAAATAAAGTTTGTGTCTGCAACCTGGGTTGCTGTCTATTTTAATCTACAGAACAGGTAACTAATTGTGCAAAAACCTATTCAGCCCCTACCTAAAATTATAAATTGGTTAGTATTAAAGAAACAGCCTTTCTCTTAACATCAGAGCCTAATTCCAATTTCAGGACCATCAACCCTGTTCTGAATTGTGACCTCATGTGCTTGAAATAAGTTGCGAATTCTTGCTGCTTTGATGGATCTGGATGTTTATGCACACCTAATATCACAACTCTTCAAAATACAACTTGGTCACAGATCCATCCTTACCCTAGAGGTAGAATCGTTGCAGGCAACTTTCAGCCAGAATGCTAGCAGCCTCCTCTGGTCTGGGTACAGTGAGAAAGATTAGTGAAAGTGTCAGACAATTGATGCATTTTCAATATATCCCAGGGCTAATCCCCCCCCTGAAATTTAACAACATTGTATCATTAGAGCCACGACATAGTCAGATTAGCCTTTGTACAACACAAAGAATGTGAAAGAATGTCTGTAAAGTGTTCAAGGTAGCATGAATGCCTCAACATCTGCTAATTTTCTGATAATCGAACATTGCATATTGAAATGTTTCTTCTGCAACAGTCAGTTATGCTGCCTTGACATCTTGTAATTATATATATATTTATATATATTATTTATATATATTAATATTGATACTGATTACACAAAGCCAAATACCAATCATTCATTTATCATCAAGAATCTTATTTACCCAGCAAGTTCTACTCTTCATTTTGATTCCATTTAAAATATTTATAAAATAAAAGGACACCACATTATTATTATATCAAGGCAAATAAAAAAAGTACCTCTGTCATTACTGTCATTAACAGGAGACTCATGTTTTGCCGCCATCTTTGAAAAATAAATTGTTTTCCAAGAAAAAAAAAATAATCAATCAATTCGTGTCAACCTATAAATAATTAATGTGTATATACGCGTTTGTCAATCAAATAAAATTCATAGGCAGAAGTTTGTATGATTGGCTAATGTTCTGTAGATCATTTCTTAATCTTTGTAATTTAATTGGATGGATGATATTAAAATAAATTCACTTAAAACTCTTATAATAGTAATCAAACAAAAAAACTATGGCCGAAGAAATCACCATATTGTATCATCTCATGGGCTAAAATGTCATCTGCAGATTCTTTAATGTCATCATTATCACCTTCAAAATAGAATCGGGATCTTCACCTTCAGCATTACTATTCAAATTAATTTGATGTAAACTTCTAGAAGTGATTGAACATGTTTATCAACACCACCCTTAATAAAGTCTAAGCAACATAAGCACTTGGACCCATCTTGGTTAAAACATGTGTTATGATATGCATGGCCACATGGCAATACCCATTCTGTTTCTTCAGTGATTGTAGTTTTAGTAATAAAACAATTAGAAGAATCACAACCATACAAACTAGGCTTATGCGAAGAATTACACCTTAAAGGTAGATGACAAAGCCATGCTTCCTTCATCTTCATTGCTGGAATAGGAATACTGTTTCCATTAGCACTCCTTCTTACTCCTCTTTAACGGGCGTCTCATAGAAACCTGTGGTGGAATTAAAAATTGAATTTTCCTATGATTAATACGAGTATAGAAATCAGTAAAACAATCTAGATGCAGTTTTCATGTCAAGGTTTCCCTAAAATCATCATAATTGAATTGAGAATATTCGTGACTATCCCTACTGCTTGTGAAAAAGTTAAGTTTTGTATAATTTCTGGCTCATTATGATGGGACTGTTCTAATGCATGCTGCTGTAATTAGATTGCACTTCTACTTTTAAGATTTTTATAATGCAACGTTTCACTAATAAAAAAATAAAAAATAGCCGTTAAAATAATACCAACGTTCACTGTGCAAAAGAATCAAAAAAAAAATTATACTCCTGACATACTTTACTTAGAAGACAAAAACGTGATTGACTAGGGCTTGTAGTCAAGGTCTGTTAAATTCTGGAACTCGACTAATGGTTGCGTATCCATAGATGAGCTCTTTGAATCATCAAAAGTATCATTCTGAGACTTAGCTGGCAGATTGCAGGGTTTCATATATTCTTCGAGCAAGATTGCATCAAACAAAGCATCATCATCCTCTTGTTCAGAGATGATGAATGGGCTGGAACTGAGATCGAGATTTTTTTGCGTAGTTTGTGTAGACGCCATATGTAGGTGTAAAGTTTTCAGTATATCTAAACATACAAATCAAATAAAAAATATGATCCGAATGATAGTAATTCGTGGTATCCAATTTTTTGGCCATGCCAGCTCTGCTGAGAAGTGACACTATCTAACGCTCAGAATCAACACAGTGGCTATTTTTTTTTGTCTATCTCTCCAGTTATTCTTGTAAATGGTTGTGACATGCATCTTACAAAAATCAGTCTAGGAATAGGTCAGCTTATTGCAGAACACACATAATTTTTTTGTGGTGACTTGAAATGCCTGACACATCCAGACATTCGCAAACATTTTTTTCCACAGATAGATCCATCTTTTTTGATATATTGGCAAATCCAGGACTCTAATGTATAATTATTTCAGCTTTGGCAGAGTGATATGAGGTGGATTACATTTTATCAGAAAATAGCTCCATATAATAATAAGATAAGTTTTTAAGATTATTATACCTTAAATTTTCCTTTCATTTTTTATTATAGGTGAATCGTATAAATATTCAAACCCCATCTAAATAATATTTTGATTTTAAAGATTCGAATTTGTAAGTATTTGTATACTAAAAACTTTCCGCATATATTATTTACATAGTTATCATTGAAACTGCTCAAAAAACCTAAAAGTCCAAAACTAATAACTCTACCCCAATTTTAGACCAGGTCCTAAGAAAATATAACTTGTCTACTGATCCAACCCATCTCAATTATGTGACTATGTTACCAGACTGGAAGACTTGCAAAAGTATGAAAGAATTGCTTCATCAACGTTCATTCAGTAAAGATAAGATTGAGGCTTGCATGTCGGATAAAATCACCATCAAGGAAAGAGATCAGTATTGTGCTAAAAGTGGTGATCCATTTGATATAATAGCTAATGCTTTAGATGTAATGAAGACAAAAAACAATAGTGATAAGGAAAAAGTTGCTTCCAGTTCATGACTTACATTATTCCGTAAGGAATTGGCAGAAGCTGGAGCCGATCCTAAAAATATTTCATTAGCTAAGGATCCAACTACTACCGAAGAGTCTAATGAAATTCAGAAGAGGCAACTCATACAGGGATTAGCTAATCTGTCTAAAACTCCTAAACACTTCTTTTTAGAGGGGGGACTTAGAAGAATTCAAAATAATACAAAATTTTTCACTATGCAAGATCTTGCGGATATCATCATGATCTAAAAGAAATTAAGATACTATGTGTGTGCATGTGCACCAAATCACAAAGAAAATATATCTCCCACTTATCTTGTTAAGTTCCCATTTCATCACCATGTTTTTGCTCATTTCCGATGATTTCTTCAACTTTTTCAAAAGACTTTTCTCTCTTGAAAAACTGCTTGATTCAATGAACATGCTATAGAAGTTGTCTAAATTAAATTGTGATGATGCTGGAACTCAGAAAAAAAAAGGTGTAGAAACTAATAATTCGAAACTTAGTTACTTTGACAAAACTTAATCATTGTGCCGAAACTATAATTTGTTGACGAAACTTCAGTTTTTGTTGAAACTATTTTATAGTGATTAGATATTTTCCTTTGTAACAAATTAATTATTGTTGAAATACAAGAAATTTTCATGAGCTATGTAAACACTTTTATTATTCCCACAAAGCAAACAATAAATAGATTGGGAATTACCCAAAAGAACGCGCTTGCTTAGCTTTATTGATAATATATTTAGGAAGATACTTCATTTTCAATTTTGTAATTTGTAGACGATTCTTTTTTATCCCTTAAACGAATTTTGGACCAAATCTGGTCCAAAATTCCAATTCTGGTATTTCACAGCTAATAAAAGTTTTG